TGAACTATATAGATAACCAAGTGAAGTTAAGCTTACATCTTTGAAGTCCTTCAGGATAAATGTATTTATTTTTTTTAAATAAATGCCAATAATAAAGATAAGTTATAGCCAGACCTGTTGAAATTCAAAAAAAAAAAAACCAATCAATTAACTAACTAGTCAATTAATCAGTTAATTGATTAATTGTTAACAATTAATTAGTTGTCTAATAAAATTACAAAACATTTGATTATTATACTATATAACAATTTTTTATTTGTAATAAAAAAAAAAATCTTATAATAATTATTTTTACAATTTATTTATAATAAAAAAATTAGAGTGGGTTGGGTAATTAGCATATGGTTTAGTGATTAGCAAATAGTTGAGTTGAATAATTATCAATAATTTGGTTGAGTAATTAATAGAATCATGAATTGCAATGGGTTTTTGAATCATTTAAGATCACAAATTATATTTTATATATAAAAAATCTTCATATATACAAATTAGATTTTTTACTAATTAAAATACATCATATATACTTAGTAAATGTAGATTATTTTCTCTGGTTGACTCATGGATCATCAATTAAGTTAAGTTGAAAACAATCCTCAGCTTAAAATTAATGAGTGCCGTCAAGAGAAAACCTGTCATCAGACCTTCAATTTTATTGTACAGTTAGCTGTCTATGGAAAATCTATCATAGCGATAATAATAGATTTTTCATAGATGGCTAACTGTACACAAAATATAATTGAAAGTCCGATGACAGGTTTCCCCTTGGCGGCACTCGTTTAACCCTTTTTTTAAAAAACATGGGTTGTAAAAAAAACCCCAATAAATTAAATTTGTTCGCACCTATATATAATTGCTAATAATATTATCATAAAAATTTTATTTAGAAGGTTATTAACATACAAATATACAAATATATATATATATAAATTTTTCTACATGTAAAAGCAATAAATGACATTAAAATTTCTAAAAGCATGAATTGTATATATAATTATGTAAAAAAAATAATAATAAAAATAATAATAATGTTGTGCATATGAATATATAATGGAAGATATGAAATGGAAATTAAAAGAAATTACAAATTATTACATGTTAAAGTTATCTACATAACAAGCTTATAAATTCCAAAACTGTAAGTTCGAAAAACGCATTTAATAATTTAAAGTCAAATTTTATAGATAAGCTAAATCTATGAATCGTGCAAATGAATTCTAGGAAGCGGTTCATACCGCAAATATAGTTCTTCCTTGAAATGACGATGTCTATAATGTATTATTAATTAATAAATATTATATACTATGAGCATAAAAAAATCTGTGCTCGGTTTTTGGTCATGTAATTGACGATCATAATCTTCGCTAAAATAAAAATTTTCAAACCTTTAAATCATTATATCCCAACAACTACCTGAGCAAATCTGATAAAAAATTTTTATTTGAATTCTATAGACCCATAGAATTTTAATAAAAAATTCTTCATCGAATTTGATCAAGTGAGTGTAAAGATATCTTTGCTTAAAGAAAAATCAAAACGTGTATCAAAATAACTATTGAATTTTTTCTCAAACTTTGAGTGAAAATGTCTCCATAAGCATCAACCAGGTTCGAAGAAACCTTTTTTGTTTAAGTTCTATGGACTTATAGAATTCAAATAAAAAAATTTTCATCGAATTTAATCAACTGGTTGTCGAGATATTTTCGCTCAAAGTTTTGAAAAAATCAACTACCTATCAAAAAATTAAAGTTGCGCCAAATTTTCTCAAACCTTGAGTAAAGGTATCTCGACAACCACCCGACCAAATTCAATGGAATTTTTTTTTCTGGATCGTATCAATCCTTAGAATTCAAATAAGAAAGTTTAGTCGAATTTGTTCGGGTGGTTATCGAGATATCTTGATTTGAAGTTTCGAAAACTTTTATTTTTAGGATCTTCATCACGTGACTAAAACCGAGCACAGATTTTTTTTGTGCATATTGTGAACCAGAAGGAATGCCACTTACTTAATGCCTCTCGGTCTTCTTGCCTCTTCAAAATAGCGAATCGCATCAGCTACAGAGATATGCAATTCTTCGATCATGTAGCAACAGATCATGAACCCTGTCCGATTAAACCTAAATTGAAATAAAAGAAAAATAAGATATCGTATAAATTAATTGGTATAGACAATTAATTAATTTCAAACGTGCATGCATGTATGTAAGAAGAAAAGCTTCATCCAATAATTAACGAGGTAAACTTACCCATAATGGCAATGAACAGCGATTTGCTTATCAGGTTTTTTGCTCCATGCTCCTTTGGCGATTTGAATAAATGCTCGTACTTCTTCACGTGATGGTGGGATTTTACTTGCTGTGCTGAGTTTATTATATTTAATATGTGAATTATCAAAATCGGACGTTCTATAAGATGGCGGATCTTTTGTTATATCAATGATGCTATATAATAGATTAAAATAAATTCATTAGTTTACAAAGTAACATTACAAAGTACATTACATAACATTACAAAACACGCGCTTAAAAAAATTTGACCTACAATCCTATTTCCGGATGCCGCGCAATAAATATTTCAGGTGAATGTTCTTCATCATTTTGTCGCATAACCTTGAAAAAAAATAACAAATAAAATAATTAGATACATAACAAGTATAATAAATTTAATTATAATAATTCAATATAAAAGACAAACCTTCATTGGTCTAAATAATGTACTATTGACGGTTCGGTCGGCTAACGTTGGTGTTTGTTTCCACTATAATTAAATGCCACATGAGTGCGACGAGAGTATTTTTGGTCACGAGATTATCTTAAAATTATAAAACAATATTTGATAACTTAAAATCAAAACTGAAAAAATTCACGCGTCGAACCCAAAAATTCCATCATAGGAAAAACCTTGCACGTTCTGAGAAATACAAGGAATATGGACCCAACACGGCTGATAGCATGAATTTATTTTTCAGCTGCATACCTTTTGAAAATTCTTCAAAGACCACTTATTCTCATCTTTTGTCTTGTAAACGATTTGCCATGCAGGATCAACTGTATTCAATCCACATATCTTGATAAGAAAGTCATTGATTATCAAGTTAACCAAATCAGGTTTCTCCACCATTGGATTATGTCCTGCTTGTGGAATCACCACTGGATCAGGTGTATTTGGCGAAGTACACCATTCGCTAACAAGGATCGTGTCACTCTGAGGGCTAACTCGGTCCTAACAATAAAAAAAAAGAAAAATTATGTAAATATAATTTATATATAACAGATAAGCTATTTTACCTTAAGGACTACAATTATAAAGACGACCACTTACCTCTTGACCTGATAGGAGCAACAATGGGCATTGAATGTTGTAAATGTCATCACGAGTTATCCATTTAAAACCACTGAGCATTCGTTTCCACACAAAGGTTTTTGATTGTTTATTCCATTTTAGTTGCTTTGTTCGTAATCCAACACTCGCATCTTTATGCAACATACGGTCAACACTAGAAGAATTGATTCCACCGCGACGATCAAATAAGACGCGGAAAACATCAAAAAATATATCAGGGCAGGATTGGATAGTTTTTCGTTGTGACAATTCTTTTTCACTTATTTCGGCTTTAACCGAAATGAAAGTCATAGCTTTAACAGTATTTTTGAACCGCTGGTACAAGAACGTACCTAGGCAACAACCATATGAATGACATATGAATACCATGGTTTCACTGGGATAAGGTTTCAAAAGTTCTTCCAAATCATCGACTAAAGATTCGGTTTTGTAATCATCTGATCTTTTTATATGCAACGTACGATTATCACTATTAATTCTTATTAGGATCAATACTACTAATTTTATAGTTTACCTTTTTGAAATATCACTTTTTCCACATCCTAACAAATCAATAGCTAGTACATTTGCAGTGGAAGAAAAATATTCCAATTGATATTCCCACTGAGCAACCTTTATTCATCCCAACCCACCATTTATTATGATAATTATTATTATTATTACAAGAAATTCTATAACTGGTAAAATAACTGGCACAAAATATTTGAAAGAGAATGTTATAAATTCTAACTAACCTGGCCACCAATCCCATGTATGAGTACTACTAAAGGAACTATCGATCCAAGTTGATGGGCAATATGAACAATTCGATATCTTTTATTCCTGATTTTTACATAATCCGTATTTTTCTGAATGATTATTGGCTCTTCTGTTTTGCATTAAAAAAAAAAAAAAAAAAAAAAATAGAGTAAAAAATAAATAAGTAAATAGAAATATATTCATATATAAATTTGGTTTATAACAATAAGTAAATATATGACGAAACGAATGCAAGTATTCGGGGCATTGAAATCCGTGTATTAATATACCGTCTAAAACTTTATTCCTCAAGAGGTAAGGTGTCAAGAACAAGCCGCACATAGTAACAATTACTGGAATGATTATTGTTAAGGGTTGAATAGGAATAGGAATAGGAATAGGAAAACTGGACGGCCAAGACGTTGGCCAAGATTTTAACCAAAAGTTAACTGTAGTAGCTGAATGCATGGACAGATTCAAAAGACGTTCAAAAACTACGCGCCCCTGGCGTGTTTGTTTTTTACTTTAACAAGTCTGTTTCAGTAAGCAAAAATGGTTTTAAAACTAAGAGCCTTTTTGCTACTTTTATATAGTAGAGAAAACAGACTAATAAGGCCAACGTGTATTTTTTAATTTTAAATGCGGTCTTCAAAAATAGTTGGGAAAATCCAATAAATTTTACACCTGCGAAAAATTCTTAGTTTTATAGGTTCCAGTAGCTGTCGTGTGCTGAATTCTAATTAACTATTGGCTGGTAACTTTCCACAAAAGGAAAATGACATTTACTGATCCGGTTTTGGGGACCCAAACAATTTATTTAACGCACTGGCCCAATCGATCAGCAAAAAAAAAAAAGACATCGGTATCGCGTGCGGAGTAGATTATAGATTAACCCATGAATTTTAAATTTACACGTTGTAATAATGACAGACTCTAACACACATTATATTAAGACAAACTTGTCTCATAATGCAGTAATAGATTCTTCTGATGATAGGTCAGTACAGGCTCGAACAGTAGCATATACAGATAATGATCCCACCACCGAATTCTTTTGTATGTTATAAAGACAAATTATCTAAATTTTCTTCAAAAATAATAAAAATAATAAGTATTTATACTTAATTTTCTCTTTTTTTTTGTGTTCTTTATTTGCTTTGTAGACCGTCCGAGGACTTTGACGGTACTAACCGTTATGTTGATCGGGTTAGTGTACGTCGCAATGTTTCCTGAAGCTGACGATACGGCGACAAATATTAAGTTGTAAGTGCGTTAAATGCATATCAGCGCATTCGATGATTTGAAGAGTACTGTGACTCAAAAGCTTTTACTTATAGTGGAACTTGGGCGGGAGTCTTTTCATTCCTTCTTTTTGCGATGCTACAATTCCGAGATGGACCATTTATTCGGCCACATCCTGCATTCTGGCGCGTAGTATTAGGTCTTGGCGTACTATATCAAATGTTCCTTGTATTTCTTTTATTTCAGGTATTCACCGACTTATTTTCGTGTCAAATAGTATAATTTCTAGCCAAAAATGATAATTCATATTGATAATTTAGAATAAACGCGATGCAAGATATATTTTTTCATGCATTGACCCATCTTTAGGAGTTCCTCTACCAGAACGTTCGTATGCTGAAAATTGTGAGTTAACCTATGAGAATGTTAAGGTATGTTATTCATATACTGTATATACAAAGTATAACGGATTCATATAGACCAGTGTTCGAATTTTTAATCTTAAGAGGCATCTATAATAGGATCAACTCGATATATTTGTTATATATCATATTGTTGGATGGTATGCAAAAGCAGTGGTTCTTCGAGATTATTGGTTTTGTTGGATTTTATCAGTAATGTTTGAAGTAATGGAATATTCATTACAACATCAATTAAATAATTTTGCTGAATGCTGGTGGGATCACGTAAGTATTTTTCTCTATATTCTATTTATTAATTATTTCAATTATTTCAGAAAAAAAAAAGAATGATTTATAAATTTTTTAAATATTTCAATAGTGGATTCTTGATGTCTTGATATGCAATTGGGCCGGTCTTTATTTTGGCATGAAAACTTGTGAATATTTTGAGATGAAGGCTTATTCATGGAGAGGAATAAAAGAAATTAGTTCTCTAAAGGGAAAAGTAAAACGCACAGTTCAACAATTTACACCACATGATTGGACTAAATTTGAATGGGGAACGACAAAAAGTTTTAAAAATTATATCGCAGTTATCGGACTTTTGTTCGCGGTGAGCTTTATTATTTCTATAACTTGTCATTCGTAATTACTTATATTAAATATGATTATTTATAAATATCAGTTTCTGCAAGCAGAATTAAATTCTTTTTATTTGAAATATCTGTTATGGATACCACCAGATAATCCAATCAATTCATATCGCGCGCTTTTACTTTTCATGTGTTCTATTCCTGCTACACGTGAAGCGTATCAATACCTCACAGACAAGTAAACCACTTTCTATCTATTACATCGTTACTTGACCTAGCATTTATTGACGAATTTCATAATTTATATTTATCAGGAATTGCAAAAGATTTGGTCCACAAGCCTGGTTAACAATGGCAAATATAATGACTGAATCTATAATATGTTTTAAATTTGGTCAAGGAGAATTTCCAAACCCTGTACCCACAAACGTAGTAATATTTTGGACAATATTAATTAGTTTGCTGATTGGATATGCTATATGGCAATTTGGAATACCATTTTTGAAGGAACGAATGGAAATATCTATAAAGGAACAAAATGGAACATCGGCGTCACCTTCTGCCGCGAAACGATTGAAAGATAAGAAGCTGTGATTGTAGATTGTAGATTGAAGATTGATATCGATATGAACACAATTCACAAAATTTCGCGCGATCCCGTGACCATGTGTCATGGTATTGGGCGTTTCGCTTTGTTATAAACATTACCGTTTACGGGTTTGATTTAGGTATCCATAAAATAAATGTATATGGTATGAACAATGTTTACCATATTCCGTAGAATTCAAATAAAAAAAATTCATTGAATTTGGTCAGGTGGCCATCAAGATAACTTCGCTCAAAATTTTTAAAAAATTTGGCGCACAATGATACATAGATGGGGTTGGTAAATTGGGTCCGAAAATTTGAAATCAAGAAACCGTATTTGTTAAAATCACAATGGTACATGAATATTAAAAATTACAATTGTTATTAGGATTTACAGAATTCCTTTTTTGTTCTTTAAAAAATCTTATGTTTTGATTTTCGTTGATCCACAAAGAAATTTAAAATGAGAAAGACTTCAATTTTTAATTACCCAACTTTAACCGTCATATCCCCATATATATTTTGATTTTTAATGTTATCTGTCAATATCTCTCCATGAACCTCATATACTAATTTTGGGGATCGCCCAAACCAGATAATGATTTTTCATTTAAATTAATCAACCCAACTTAAAACCGATACCTCGTTTTAGAACTTCACGTTACACTTAATCATTAATTTGATTGGCCATTAATGATGTTATGGGAAATCGGATTGCTTATATTTGATGTTCCATCTTTTGCTGTGAAAAACATTAAAATAGTGACCATTTTACTTGATATATACCCTAAAATTGAAGTTGTAATTCAGCCAAGAATCTAAAAAAAAAAAAACTTTTTTAAACAATCAGATTTTGGTATGTGAATCAAGAACGATGCTTTTCGAATAGCCTCTATCTTAGTAGGTCGGTTTAGCCCTGACCCTAGGCTTTTTTGATCTTATCCCAGTAATGTCCAACTTATCAAAAAAAATATCATATCGATCAACAATAAATAAGTTATGTTTCTTAATTTGTTTACATATCCGACTTCTAAGAAAATCACTGCAGATGCATTTATTTTCACATTTATAAATAATATACATTGATATATTATACATAGGATATACATTGTAATATTTGTTGAACTTCACACTATTACTTTTATGTTACGTATAATTTCGGAGCAATAACAGATAAGTATAATAAAAAAAATAATTCCGTATGGGTGGATGTGGTAATAAAACTTTAAAATATGTGATGAGAATGGACCAATGGAGAACTTCAACGGAGTGGTGCCTATTCATTGAGACAAAATTGCAAACCTTACATTAAATTTAAGTTTCAGTATTTCCAGGTTATAAAAACCATCACATGTTTTAAACCGGTTTTTTTTTAGCCTCCCTTTCATTGGAGCATTACGCAATACCAGTTCTTCCAACAAATTATCAAGTGAAATTCGTTAATTCCGGCAGTATTCCGGCTCAGCTGACCACAATTCCTAAGTTATGAAACACCCCAATGAAGTATCGATCGACTGATATTTTACAGATTCGTTTCCAATTTCGCGTTAAATGGCTAGTAGAGGAATTAGAGGAGGTAGAGGAATCAGACGTCGTGGTGTCGGTATGCGAGGTGGCGCCCCAGATCTCGGGCGCAGCTTTACTAACGAATTACGTGCAACTTTACAAAGGAATCTCGCTGACGAAAGCCCTAAGGTATTTACTGGAGGTTCGTAAACTATACGTGTTATTATAAACTAATAAACTTAATGTCAGGGTCTTGAATTTGAAGATCCAGTAGGACCGACTGACAACGAACATTTGACTCTCTATGCGTTAGTTGGTTACAAAGCAGCTCTCAAAGATTCTGCTTTCTATATATCAGCGCCACCACCGCCCTCTGGTACACTCTTATCTTTGGCCGCGTTACGTTATCATTTTTATGCTTAAATAAAAGTAATGAATTGGTGTAAATATTATGAACTCTCAGAAATACAAAGATATTCGGATCAATTCAAAAAGAAAAAAACACCACATTCTCTGCGAGATATTAAAACAGGTTAATCCGATTTGATTCTTGTAGAAACAGATCATATCGCATCTATTAACAACTTTTTTATCATAATTAGACGTAGCTTTCTTCCCTGAAGAACTTCACTGTGTCAAAGATGAATCGCTAACATCGACAGTTTCAACAAATATAGGTCACAATTGGAATTGACGAGTTTTGCGCACGTTTAGTGAAATTGTATTAAACCTTATTTAAATTTAATATTTAGGCAGCCAAAAAAGAACTACTTTCGATTTGGATCAAACGTTTGGTGACCTTCTAGCACAAGAAGACAAAGAGCAGACCAAAAAACAAGATGTTTGTTTGTTTTTTTGTATGTTACTGATGTAGTTTTAATTATGGTTCTGATGGAAACAATTGTTTTTAGACTAGTGCAGAAAATGAATTCGAAAAATATACTGATATGGATCAATTCCTTCAAGAAGAGGATGAACTGGCAGATGCAACTGATTATGTAGAGAATTATTTTGATAATGGTGAAGGAGATGATTTAGATGATGACGGAGGTATTGCTATGATACTTTGTTTTCGGTTATTTATGTTTTCTTTTATATCCTCATAATGTTAATTTAATATCTAGGTGGTGGTGGTGAAGCTTATTTCGATTGAAATCTTGATTGAAATTATCAGATAACAGAATATGCTCTCGTGTGTGTAATTACTTGAACATCAAATAAATTGATATATATGTAAATTACATTTATTTGACTTAAAAGCTAATTCATGAATAATTAGTAGTTTTTTAATAAAATTTGAGGCAAATTTAATAATTAAATCAAATATGATATATTTCAAAGTAATGTTATTTTTTTACTAAGTTAATTTTTTTTGGTTTTTTTGTAATTTTAATAATGTAAAATTGGCCTAATAGTTTTACTACTATTAAGATTATAAAAACTAGCTTTACAACTTTTATTAAAAACTAAAAAAAAATAATTAAAGAAATATATAATTTTATTTTAAAAGAAAATAACTACATTTACTCGGGGGGAAATTACCTTCTCTAATTATTTTTAAGTATAGGGTAAGGAATTAGAGAGGATTTTTTTTTTATTTAATATAATATAAATTGGATTTCGTTCTCGTGAGGTTTTCAGGGTCCTGAACATTTTTACTTAGAATACCCGATCCCAGATATAGCATCCCCGGTGAAAATTAGCAATTCTCTTTTAAAAAAAGAATAAATTTATATATCGCAGCATGTAATATATTTATCAAATTTTATTAATTTTATTTGTGAATTTTTGTAAAAAAATTTTATTAATTTTTTTAGATTAGAGTTTGTATAAAAAATATAAAAAAAATTGGGTTAGTTTTTAGTATTTATATACAAAATTTTGTGCCAAACATTTTTGCTTAGAAACCAATTGCTCTATATTTTTAATTATTTTTTAGGATTTGCAATATTTAACTATTTTTTGGCTTTTAAGTAAAAGTTTAGTAGTAGGTGTGGTAGTGTTCCGATGCTCGGTTCGGGTCGAACCAGGTTCGGCCGAACTTGAACCGAACCTGAACCTGAACCATGAATTTTGCAGATCTCGAACCCGAACCTGAACTTGCCGAGCCTGAACCAGATTCGAACACAATTGTAAGTTCAGTTCGGGTTCGGTTCAAAGTTCATGAGCATGTTCAAGTTCGGGATATACTATACATGTTTTTAGTTCCCCGGGTTTCCTACTATTAAATCACTTCCCGGTTTTGGAGCCAAGCCGACCAAAGCCGATGAGCTGCAACTTAAGCTATGACTAAGCATCAGCTGCAACTGAATCGCTTTTTAAAGTCATAGAAATCATAATTATTGAAGCCACGACTTGTGTTATGGCTAGAGCATGACTTGGCCATAGCTCAAGTTGTGCTAAATAATATCGATAAGCTTTGTATTAAATATTATTACGTGTTAGGGCACTGACATCAATTACGTAATTTTTTAGGGGGTGGGGGGTTGAGCATGTACTATATCAATATCTTACGTTACACAGAGAAAATTAGTTGGACCAAATTCTTTTTAAATTGGCCAATCTTATGTGGGGGGAGGGGGGGAGCCCTCATAGTAAATGGAAATTACGTAATTAATGTCAGCGCCCTTACAGTAATAATGATTTTAAAGCAATATTGTATTTAAAGAAGCCATACAAGCATTAACAGCTCTAAAAATCTTTAATGAGTTGAAATTGGTTTACAAAATTCTTTGTCATATAATGTCAGGTTTTCATGATATTTCAATTAGGTATTTTCTTATTTAATCAATTAATTTCTCATTTCAATTTTATTTATATGATTTAAGGTTTTCTCAAGCACATAAATTATAGATCGAAACTCAATTTTTAATTGGTGAAAAGTAGTTTAACCGGTAAGTAGGTTCATTGTCACTTCAATCAATCGTAGTATTTATTAGGCCTCCACATGGGCTGGGCAATGGCAATACCCTAGCCCAGTGTTGTCACTCAGACCGGACTTGGACTTGGACAATTAAATTTGTTTGCCAGACAAATATCAAATTATCAACCAAAATTTGAACATAACTAAACATTATATTTCATCATAAGTCATAATAACAATTAAAATTTAATAGTGTTGTCAAATAAAAGTATTGATGCAGTATTTGTATTGCATTAATGCATTGTAATTTTACCAGGCCTACCAAAAAATCAAGTGCAATTCACAATTAAAATTAAGCTGAATCCTAATCAATGGCGAAATAATTACAATTAAATTCTATGCCACTACAATCATTATTCAACAGGCCTAAATTATTAATTCAAGGATTAATTAAGAGTGTTCACTCAATAGATTGGAAGTAAATTTTTAATCACCTTTTTTCTTCAAAAATTTACCATTGATAAACTTCGCTCAAGCATTATTTTTACCTTTTTACATATCAAACATAATAAATAGTAAGTATGCTCAAGCATTTAATTCTATTAATGCCATTATCAATTGTGATGCTTGAGCATCATCACGATTATTATCTTAGATGCTTGAGAACAGGTGACTAGTATAACTTCTTTTGGTAAGTTTATAATCATTATTATGTATCATTAACATAGGCGAATTTTTTTGCAAAAAATAGTAGATGTATATACAAGAATTTTGACATATACATATTTATATCTCTAGTATAAACTACTGGCATTAGTAGTAAAAAAAAAAAGATAGCAAGGATTGAAATGTAAAGAGAACTCAGAAATCTTGTCTGATAATTGACTTTTAGCACCATAGATTTTATATTTTTATATTTTCTCTTATATTCACTATCGAAACCAAAGCCTGAAACTTTTTCCTAATGTGGATAAATGATCACAAGACTTATGTAAAGTGGTCGGTCAAAAGCATAATAGAAAACCATGCTGGTAAGTCAACCCACTGTGAAACTCTACTGTCAAAAATAAATCTAGAACTTTCAAAATTCTTGCATAATATTAGAAGAATCTATAATTATTTTATATTCTTTTAATCTTAATTTTTTCTTAGTTAATAAATAGTACACTATTGTAACAGGACCCCGGACATCTATGATATATGTCATATTTTTTTTTTAGCAAATTGCAGAAAATTTGGGTAAAGGTCCAAATTTTAGTTTTAGCAAATTGACATCAATTTTAAAATAGATTATAATTAACTATTTCGTCAAATTACATCAATTTTATACATGTTATATTTTATTTTTTAGCAAATTACCTACATTTTGGAAGAATTATACTCA